GTCACTTTTCCTCACAGGTATAGGTTACTTAAGATTAATTGATAGCATAAGTTAATTAAAGTGCTTTTCACCTCAAAACGGAAACAAAAGCTTCAAACTAAAGACTGTCGCATGTCAAATATTGGTGTCGAAGAAAGACTGGAAGTGAAAGCACTCATGAAATGTTACGATTAAATTTAACCCACGATGTTTGTCTTAAATTTGGTTCTTCTATAAAGTCTTACGATAAACGTCTTTTAATAGTAACAGCGTGCTAACATAATTAATGAGACGGTTTGATCGAATCACAATCACAGAACAAGGTCGCAAAATTTTTAGCTAGATGAAATCGATTGAGTTGTGAGTGATACGCCAGTCTCAATAAAAGTGTGTAAAACAACGGGTCAAATGGGCCAAATGCAGAAAATTATCACAATATCTCTATAAAAATTTCCCTATGTTCGCATTGGATTCAAATAACTTTACCGTTGATCACGTTGGTTTCCAGTTACCCTATACAATTAAGATAAAACCGATAATAACCTTGTGACGTTAATCGTTTGCAGAAAAAATGGCGGCTCACAAGCAACCAGACCCACCAGCACAAAACAGTAAATATTCTATAAATGTTGACAATAGCACAATTGATAAGCTAGTAATTGGTGATTACAACACCTTGAATGACAACCGTTCTGGACGATCGAGACCTTCTCAAGAATCCTCGGCGAGTCGCCGTTTACGAAGGGAAAGCGGGTCAATACGACTTTGAAAAATCTTTCAGGAGACAGTGACGAGGATACTGTTTCTTGGAAACGAGATCACCAGTTACAGCAATCGAAGAACGGATTTACCCAATTTGGAGCAAGCTACATGCATTGACATGTTTGCGACCTTGTGCGTTCGCTGCAAAATGATGGTTTACCTGGTGAATGTTAATTGCGTCTCCACTTACGAAAACTAGGTTTCAGTAGTTAATTAAAAGAGCTCTAAAATGTTAAATTTCATTAGTTGCCATTTCATAAGAAGCCCAAGTAGTTATATACATTGAGACAGAGAAAAAGAAATAATGAATTAACGTGTACGGGTTTCACCGTTTTCGCTTTCGATTATCAAACCTTCTGCAAGCGAAGCAGTTTCCCCAGACCGATCAAAGTCAAACACCTGAGGTTCCCGATATACCGGATACTTTGTGATCTTAACACCTCCAATAACTACCGTAGACGTCTCTGCTATCCTTAGAAGTCAACAGATTGTCAATTTGCAAGAAAATTGTTTCGAACAACAACGATTAGGTATAGAAGGCATACAGTCGACTCCCCATAACTCGAACCAATGCTTCCTCAAGGGAAGCATGTAGTTTAAAGGTCCACTTGTGCGATTGAGCAACTTCAGAGAACCCGCGCACGTAACTACCAGAAAATAATCTAGTGTCGGTCATGCACTTTTTGATGGCAAATCAGGAGTTGATATTATCCATAAAACAATTGAAAAACGCACTTTGGTTGGTTAGTGCGGAAGATATCCCGAAAGACACTGCGACAAGTCCATCGAGCAAACAATAATAAACACAGTGAACGGAATGGTTTTTTTCTCTCGTACTGGAACTGAAAGGCTAGTCGTATTTTACGAAGCAGAATTTTCTATTCACAACTCTAATGGGATGTGCTTTCAGTTTCCTGACAAGCTTCGTCCTGACTAGCAAGTGCCAAACGTAAACAACGCTATAAGCAACGACGAAGACGTCGATACACAACAAAATGAAAGTAAGAGCTGCATCCGTACTCACGGTAGCGTTCGTTTCAGCGCAGACAAACAAAAATGGGAAAGGAAAACCAGCGATCGAGTCCGTTTACGGCGCAACGTACAACATACAAATACATATTCGCGATTACGGTATTGTCGTGTCGGCGATAACAGTAACATTGATTTTCGCCAGCCAACAGGAAAGATATGGGGAGCATGACAGATAACCATGTAATCGTCGGGGATGGAAACGAAATTAAAGAGCCGTATGTTTTACCATCGCCTGGAGCCAGGCAGCACTTTGCACTAATTTATCTGGCGCGTTCATCTATTCCCAATTCAAGTGCATCGAAGAAGTAGTCAGTGACACAAACAAAAAGGAACCTTGAGGAGTTCAGTCGAAGCCATGATCAAGTCGAAGACACACCTGTAGCTACAAAAATAAATTTCATGATGGAGTCAAAACTTTGCATTCTCGCGGGGAATTATTCCAGAGCAGAAGAACATGCAGGTAAAGCTCTTAATATAAAAAAAACAGTATGGATTTGAATTAGAAATTGTCCCAGCCCAAGATAAGATCGATCGATGTGTCTCCAGAGCATAACAAGCTAAGCTACAAGTTTAAAATATTGCCAACAGGTACGCCTGCAATTCTAGCACCACGACGAATTCGGATCAGAGAACGTCCAGATCTGACTAATCTTTGTAGCGCCTTTCATACGATGTAGATTGTAGCAAGTTGAACTAGCAGGTCTTTAAATAAGCAAAATTCGAGTTTTATACTCTCCTATATCACAAAGTGTTTCACTCACGCAAACTCTTGTATTTTCTGTTATACAAAAAGGAAAAGAACAAAAAATCTTTATACTCGCAACTGTTTGAGCAAAATTTCATTAGGGACTCATCCTTATTCATTGCTTGGGGGAGAGGGGGGAGGAAATCTGGGAGGATTTCGATTGTGTTACAGTAAAATTTACCTGATTCCCCCCCTTATGGTCTAACGTATCTTTGTGATCCTCCCTTATTGACGGTCAGTTTTCTATACTATCCTCTTTATACTCTGTTGGCGACGACAGATCCCCCCTCCATTCCCAGCCTGAAAACCATGTGCCCCCCTCCCAAAATCCTCCGACCACCCCACCCTTCCCCTTCACCGGTGATAATTAATGAATGGTTCCTTGGGACTAATGGCGTAGACATGAGGAGTTAACTAGTTTTCAGAACAATTTGCTGAACGTTATCTAATTATTATGCAAAATTGCTTGTGAATTTTCCTTCGAATTTTTTACCGAACAAAAAATTAGAAGGCTATTTTTGTCACTGGCCTGTGATGGATCAAGAATATTTTATTTGTGGCCTTAGTAAATGGTGCTTTATTACAAAAATAATGGAGAAATACACAATTCAATTATCTTTAAGTAGAATTATCTTTAAAAAAGACGTTCGTGTTTATAGGACAAACATGAATAGGCCAATTCAATCATTATATTATGTTGAATCAAACACTTTTAACATTTTGAGGCTTTTGTAAATATTTAATCGACGTATTGTTGACAAAATACAGGATTTACTCATTTTTTTGTCTTCTTTGAGGGGGTTAGAATTATTTTCACAAGAGACGTACATTTTAGTCAAAACTGTAAGGCTAATTCAATCATTAGCTTATCCTAAATCAAAAGTCTTCCCTCTTTGTTGGCTTTTAAAGTAAGATTTTATTACTTAAAAAAGTTGATGAAAAACAGAATCAAAATATTAATGGTTTAGTGTAATGACCAATACAAGACACATATGTTTATACCTCCTAGCCAACCAGGTCATCTCAGTCCTTTAGCTCGCGCTGAAGCAAAATTTACATATTTGTGGCCTTTATTAATAATACTTTATAACTTACAATACTGATATCTCATAGAATCCAACTGGACTTTAGTGCAATTATCTTTATAAGAGAAAGATATGTTTATAAGTGAAAACAGTCGGGTCAATTTAATCATTAGCTCATGTTAAATAAAAATCTTTAATATTTTGTAGCTTCTGTGCATAATCAGAAAACCCCAAGAATCAATTTTCAAACCAACTAATGTTCCATGGGCATTTTCTTGTGGTCTTCCGCAGTGAACTTTGTTTAAGCAAGCTCCTCTCTGTTAAAGAGGGTGACTGTGCACAAAAAGTGCAAGGGTGAGAGGCTAAAGGAGGAGGTTTATTTGTAATAGGCTAATGAAAATTTGCCCCTGAATGGGGTCGACTTTTCACGACTGGATTGATTATAATTGGGTCGATTTTTCACTAAAGTTTCTAAAATGAGGTCACACAATTTCGGGATTTTTGGAGTCGGAAAATTCTGCGAAGTAGGAGTTTAAAAATGGCCTACATTAAGAAAAAGCTTTATAAGGTGGCTAGATGCATAAAAAAAAATTGACTAAATTAGAATCACGAAAATTAAATTTACCCAAAAGTGACTAAGTTAAGGTCTATTATTGACCACAGAATAGACTATAATTGGGTAGGTGTTCTGAGAAGCCAGCTGCATCATAACCAGCAAAAATTGACCCAAATATCCCCTCCTCCTCCTCTGCATGAAAGGAAATTAAAATGCTTTTAACCTCAAAACGGAAACAAAATCTTCATACTAAATACCTAATAATATCATAAGCTCCTTTAATAGAGTAAGTATAATAACACATATTTCACAAATTTAAGGATTGGATTATTGCATCAAATCTAAGTTGACTGTCACATGTCAAATATTGGTGTCGAAGAAAGACTGGAAGTGAACGCACTCAAAACAACCGTGTGACGTCAAACGTTCACAGTCAAAAAAATGGCGGCACCTACGCAACCAAACTCACCGGCACAAAACGGTAAATTTTCGATCAATTATGACCATTGCACAATTGGAACACAAGTAAATGGTGATAACACAACCGTGAATAACAACCGTCCCGGACGATCGACACCTTCTTCTCAAGAATCCTCACCAATTCGTGATAACAGCAAGTCAATTTGGAGCAAACTACTTTTGATAATTTGCCTACGAATGAGACAGTGGCAGTTTTGATACAGTTTTGAACGTCAAGTAAGCTCACCTGCACGTAAAAACAATATCAAATCCGATATGGTTGTTCACGGGGAAGGAAACACATATACGTAACAAACATACATCAAATGATCTTCGTTGACTTGCAAAGAAAAGTTGAGCAGGTGATTTCCTCTCGCACCCAACGCTCTTTAACTGCCGTCGCTCGTAGTTGATTTACGCAGTCAAAGATTTTTCGACGTAATGGTTTTAATAATCCATATTTTATATCCTCTGCACGGTAGAGGGAAATGGCAAGAATTTCAAAACGCTTTGGGGAGGTTACGTTTCAAATACAAACTCTATTCTGAGATTCAATATTTTCTCTTGAGAGAAGCTGGTGTGCGGTTAACGTATCAAAAACATCGAAAGACGTCAAAAGACCTCATCACGTGTATAGACAAGTTTATAAGCTGAAATAATTTAAATTATCGCGATAATTGAGTGGAAGTTTGGAAATTTAGAACCTTCGATGGCATAGCCATCGTGATTTGATAACAGAGTGAATACACGGAACTTTGACTCATTTGCATGCATATAGCTTACTGTTCAATGTGGCTTGAGCTTATGCAAAATGTGTTTCTTTTCACCTTGGAGAATGCATTTTTTTTTCCATTTCCACTCATCAGTTTTGTCTTTCCTTTTCTTGCAAATGGTCTCAATTACATCAATAACTTGGTAAGGCATACCTTAACAATCTCATGGTTAACTCCCAAGATGTAATTGTCAATTCTCCCCTCTAGCTGCTACACATTTCCCTGTAAATAAGTCACGAGTGTTTGGTGTTAGATCAAGACTACTAACTCCTACCTGATAAGTTTGAGTATTCTCATGACATGTTGGCTAGATAATGTGTGGATGCTATAGAGAGAAGTTAAATGTTAATTACCTATGGGAGTTTAAGTGTCAACAGCCTAAGGTATTAGATTGTGGAAGTTAAAATCTGCATAGAAGCATTGAAACTGCATATCATTTCACTGCTGACATGAAAACGTTAGCATGTAACTTCGTCAGTATTCAGTTCCCACATTAAATTAGAGGAAACTATTTCGTTATTACTTTTGTATGCATGAAAGCAGCATTTTTGAAATAAAATGCTGTGTCATTTCTGAACTTTCATGCAAGTGTCAGTAAATTTTAGGAAGCGATAACAGACGTAAAATCAACTTTGTAATAAAGAATTTAAATAAATGTACTTTAACATATTTACTTCGAAATAATTTTTTTCTGTACGACGTCAGTTCAGAAGCAGATCATTTAAAATCCTTCAAAGATGGTTAAATTTTTTTCTGCCTTAAAGGTATACCTCTGACAGTCACAACATCTTAGTTTTAAGTTGAACAGGTCCCCATGCTGTGTTCTTATAAAGTTACACAGTCATTAGGCTCAAGTGTTTTACTCCACTTAGAAGTATAAATATTATAATGAGTTTAAACCCTTTTACCCCAATGAGTGACAAAGACATAATTTCTCCTTACGATATCAGTACAATATTAAACAGCAAACAGATGAGAATAGCAAAAACTATTAAAACAAGGTTATCACTTTCAGCTTACATCAAATTCTCACAACAAACTTTGTAGAAAATGTATGGCAAACAATTACGATATTTATTACTGAGATTTTGGGAGTGAAAGTTTAAGAAACTGTTGAGGAAACCTGGCGAATATTTGAAGCTAAATATTGTATTGGTTTGGCATGCAATTCAGGGAGAAGTCGCAGTTTTTCCTGTGATAATATCATAACCAGTACAATTTCCTCAGCTGTGATTGGTGCATAAGCTGCTTTATTTTTTACTAACTATTTCATAGAAGTGTGATTAGACAGTGTAATTCGACAGTGAGCTCTTATAATATAGCTAACGCAGCCAATCATACTACACCTGCTCCGCTAAATTCACCACTCTCATAATAGCTTACAATAACCATAGCAACAATCGTTTACCCAACCAAAGTGGGGAGCTTCCAAAATTGAGGATTTTTTTAGTTTAGTCTCTACGGAAAATATTTTCTTGGAAATAAATTAAGGTTATGATTAATTAGTAACAGGACTCTGTGTTGTTCAATTTGATCTGTAATCATACACGTGATATATATTCATAAATATTCATGTTCCTCCTCAGCTTTAATTCTTATTTGCAATTGCAAATAAAAAACATATTAAATTTATGAATGGAAAAAAGAATGACTTGTGAAAAATGGGATAACTTTCACAACACAAAATATACTTTGTTCCCCCTGTGCAAAGTCAACACATTAAGTTTTATTGGCATTCATTTGAGCCTAACTAAGCATTTGGTATTACTGCATCATAAAACAAAAAATGTGTGTCAATTAGTGTGTAAGCAAATACTCTCGCTATTAAGAAATGAAAAAAAAAAAGATTTGTTTTTATCAAGTTAGACATGCCATTTAGTATCAGTAGCCAGCTGACCAGTATGTATGAGTTGGCTCCCAGGCATTAAGAAGGTGCATATGTGCTTGCCATGACAATGAACCACCTCTAAATACTAATTGAAATAAGATGTATTTGAACACTTTTAGTGACACAAGATCAATCCTTGACCATGTGCCTTTACAAACCATTTATAACTTCTTTGTTTTTAATAAATTTTCTTTTTTAACTCTGATTATCAGGAGTGGTCTAAACGGGCTTCAAAAAACCCATCTACATGTACATCTAATTTATCACTCATTCTGTTACCAGTTGCCTAACATGAGTTTTAAGCCTTAGATTAGAGATTAAAAAATGTTTGAAACACCATTAGTGCTGATCCATGTTTTACAGCCATAGAGACACGAGAAAACACTCCTCCAAACTCACTTTTGGCTTTGATAGGACCTTGGTAGGAAAGTCACTGTTTCATACCCTAACCCTCACATCAGGGGTGGAGGGGGGAGGTTCCCTTTTCTACTTTCCCCCTCTCCCCCCTTCCCTCCGTTGTTGTATGTAAATTGCTTTTTGGTCTCTTTTGCCTTATAACACAAGCAAATCCCTCCTAGCTTACTATGAAATAGTAAAAGAATGCTCAATTAACTGAGACCATTTATTCCCATAACACTCTTCGCCAAAAGAGATGGTAATTTTGAAAGCAAGCGCCCTCTAATACTGAGACCTACTGGGTTTCAAACAACTTTACCTAAATGTCCTATTTAAGGTACAATATCCCTGAGAAAATACTTGTTTCCTTGACAAGTATAAGAAGCAGGTATCCCTGAAGCGCTCCTATGAACAATCGTTCGCAGACTGTCACATATCAAATATTGGTGTCGAAGAAAGACTGGAAGTGAACGCACTCATGAAATGTTACAATTACATTTAACCCACGATGTTTGCCTTAAATTTGGTTCTTCTTTAAAGTTTTACAGTAAACGTCTTTTAAAAGTAACAGTGTGCTAACATAATTAACCTGACGGTTTGATCGAATCACAATCACAGAACAAGGATGCAAAATTACTTACTTGTAGACAATTTTTAGCTCAATAAATTCGCCAGTCTTATTAAAATTGTGTAAAACAATGGGCCAAATGGGCCAAATATAGAAAATTATCACCACTACTTCTACAAAAATTTCCCCCATTTTCACTTTCGATTCAAATAATTATCACTAATTATAATTATTATTATCACGTTGGTTACCAGTTCCTCTATGCAATTAAGATAAATCCCAAAATAACCTTGCGACGTCGATCGTTCGCAGAAAATTGGCGTCGGGTTTCTGACTAACTCACCGGCACAAATCGGTAAATATTCAATCAGTTTTGACAATTCCAAATTTGAAACCCTGGTTATTGATGATAACAACACCGAGAATGACTACCGTTTTGGAAATTCGACACTTTCTCAAGAATCCTCACAATCCGTGATAGCGGCGAGTTGCCGTTTACGAAGGGAAAGATGCCATTTCTGGGAAACACGATCATCAGTTACAGCAATCGAGGAACGGACTTCACCCAATTTGGAGCAAACTACAAGTAGTGCAAAAGATGTTTTTGATAATTTGCATACGAAATAGACAGTGGCAGTTTTAAGGACTCCACCATACCTTAACGCCGTAGATAGTGTAATAATTGCAAGCGAAAGCAACATAAAGCTGTACTTTTTTCATCATAGTAGACGAGAAAGACATAGTTTGCAATGAGAAGAGGCCATATATCGATACAATATTTATGGAAGCTTTGGAGTGGCTGGAGAATGCGAGAGTACGCATGATCAACTTCCTTAGGTGCTCAGCCTCGCGAGTACATAACCGAACTTCATTGGTCAACTCAGATGTTTACCTTGCCACGGAAAACATATATTTTCGATATCGCATCACTTTGACCTTAAAACTTGTCTTTGAAGTTTTCGAAGAGAAGGAAGAAATTTTCATTCAGCTGAGCCACTTGTTTGACCATTAATTAATATGCACAAAGTCTCATTAAAGAACAAAGCACAAATTTCTTGCGCTTCTTTTTCCTTCATTGCAATTACCCGGTCGTTTCAATCATTGAGAATCATGAAGCTTTTCGACAAGTCAGTTTTTGGAATTTTATGAACCAAGAAGCCAAGAATTTTAAGAAATTACTCTCTGACTTCTATAACCGGAAATCAGATACCGGAACTTCGAGATAAGAAATAGTCTCTACTACGTAAATTTTAATTATCATAACGTGCTTGTAGTGAATGTAATATCAATCAAATACAGATATGTCTACTAGTTTTCGTTGATTAATTATTACAGACCTAGTTTGCTTTTGGAAAAACCAAATATTAGAGAAATAAAACCTCAAAATCTTACAACGCAACTGTGAAAGATTATTCAGAGTTAATTGTTTTCAGATTGATTTTTTGCGATAAGTGATAGATGATTGAACAATACGATCCTATTATTACTCCGGCTTTCCAAAGCAAACGCCCGAGTTGAAATTCCGGCTTCGTTTTTTTCTTCGTTCGGTCGCAAATCGCAGTCAAGTCCTCATCAAGTATGCGCAACCTTTTTACACAGCATGGTGTAATGGCGGACGAACAGGAGCTTTCGCGGCGCAAAATCAGCACAGACACTGTGTATAAGACGCTCAAAACGCATACAAAATATGCACACATCGTTCACGGTAGACCCACACCAAAAGATGTCGCCCGTTTTCCAAACGTATCGGTCCATGAACCTTATAAGAGTTCTCTTTATGAACGAACATTTATGAGTGAACTTTTCATCGCAAACATGCTATATCAACTGAGCTATCTAATGTTAATCGAGAGAGGCATAGACGCAAATCTCATCGTATACGTAGACGCGATCGTGAACCAAGCAGAATAGCAATGCGAAGTTTGAAAAGGTTAAGGAACAAGAGCAGAAAGGTTAGAGAATTTGTCTCTCATGTATCTCCATGTCATCTACATTGTAATGTTATGTTAATGCTAAAAAACTATTTAATGAAGACATTTAAGTTTAACTGTCGTGAAAGAATTCGTCAATGTATAAGAAAGATAAAATATCGTGCCCGTCGATGTTTAACATTGTTTTCTTGTAATAAACTGATGTTTTCTTGCAGGAATGAGGCTAAAGTAGCAAATTATTGCAACTATAAATTAAGTAGAGACATAGAAAGAAATCCTGGCCCTCCAACATATGTTGGCCCTAACAAAACAATAGTAGCTCCATATAGTCAAGGTAACGAGTTAGTTTTTGGACAGAATGCAGGACAGTAATGTGTTGCAACGAGTTTTTGTTCTTTGATTTGCAATAGCACAAGAGGAATGAGCTCTGCAAATGATC